ATTAGGATTATTGACTGACCAGAGACACTTGAGAGATTTCTACACAAGACTGTACAAAGTTTGAAGCATGATCTGAAGCCACGAACCAAAACCTCAATGCCATCAAGTTGATGTGGATTTTTGGAGACTAACTGTTTACAGGAGAAAGCCTGTCTTTTTCCTGTGGAGCTGGTGGCTTAGAACTGGTGAAGTTGATGTTAGCAGCCTGACACATAATCACTCTTGTCACCAGCGCTCCTAAGCCACTAGCACACTGCCATCCAGAGCTCTCTTCTCCCTCTTTATGTAAAATCCCCACCTTCAGTGTACAGCCCATAGTTAGAATTTGCATTTCATCATTGCACCAGCGCCTCAATAGACACAATAGCATAGACTATGCACTTGTTCATTATGTCAAGAAAATAGCCAATTAGCTATCAGACACAAATTCAATAAGCTGCCGGGTGAGTGTTGTGAACAGATGAGTTCTTAAATAAGTTTGATAAATTAAGGCTTAACTCCGTTCTTGTGGAAGAATATGTCCTAATTACACATCTCTATAGCTTTATTGGGCATGACGTGATATACAATCAGAATTGTCAATATTTCCAGGGGATATATATTCTATAGCTCAATGTTTGAAATGACATGGTTCTTATTATTACCCATTCATATTTTCAGTAATCATATAGTGATGATTTTTAATCCTGGGTGAAACGTTTTCCTGTGTTTTTATATTTGTGTGTATTTATTCCTCCAGAAATATGTGGGAACTTTATGCCAATGTGTAGTCACTGTAATTTGTTTTTTGCAGAAGAGAAATTTGCTTCCCAAATAGGTGGAGGATAAATCTCCCTCCCCTCCCCTCCAGCCTCCCAGATTTTTACTGTGTTTGTTATGAATCTAAGAAATGTCCCCACAGTTAAACCGGTAATATATCTCAAGTTGATTATTTTAAAATCATTTATTTGACTGTGTTGTTGTTGAGAATATATATTCCCAGGTCAAATCTTTTGGAGAGTGGATTACTGGATTTATCTTCCAAAGAGCTGCTAAGAAGGCTTGGGCTGTTATCAGTCCAACTACTTAACCTAGTGCGCCACAAAGGTGCTTTTTATCTTGGGTTGATTTGAAAATAATCCTTGCAATGATCAGGAAGAGAGACAAAATAAGAGCGCCATCAAATAACTTGCTAAAATGACACTCATTTACTTTTTTCTTTGCCTTTAAAATAGTCTAGTTAATAATTATATAACAGGAAAGGAAACCCTTAGCGCATCCAATGCCTTGAACATGTATGTACGTGTTGATAGATATTTGTGTATGTAATACTATCACTGCTCCTTTCAATTGTCATACACGTGGCTGTTATTTTAATAAAATGGGAGAGAGCTATAATTCCTCCCACCCTTACTAAGTCCCAACCCAATTCCATTGCCGTCGAGTGGATTCTGACTCACGGCGACTATAGGATTGAGTCTGTTTCCCAAAGCTCTGTGTTCCCAAGGCTGCAGACCGCCACCCCCTTCTCCCCTCCAGCAGCTGGTGAGTTTGTTTCAACTTCTGAATTGGCCTCTGAGTGCTTCACTCTGGCCCAGCACTCGTTGCCATGGACTTGATGGGGCCCTGTATAAGATTCCCTGGGCTGTAAACTGTTATGGGAGCTGATGGCCATGGTTTTCTCCTGTCAAGGGGCTGGAACGTTGGAATCATCGACCTTGCTGTTAGCTTACTCGCCAGCATCACCGGAGCTCCGGAAATCAGAGAATGGTGTGAACTCACAAAAGCAGAGTTCCTTTGCTTATACAGTCACCGCGGTTGACATCATGTACCTGCTCCCAGGACTCTTCTCTGCCTCTCGTGACATGCACTTTATAAGATCTGAGCTCACCTGCTGCCTGACCCTCTCACTCATTATGGCAACATGAATTCAAATGGCTGGAAAAGAAGCTGCTTCTTTTATCTTCCACTGACTGACAAGCAACTACGAAGTTCTCCGAAGGGATTCCAAGTTACGAGCCGTACTGCATCACTGGAACAATCCTCCCCCACGGGTGGCTTCTCCCAGAGGGCCGTGTGTCAGATATACTGCATGACATGCAAGCACTGCTCTGAAAGTGCCCATTTCCCTCCACACTAAAACGCAGTCACCAGGGGCTATAAACCAAAGCTGTGCCTTTCCTAACAGCGTTAGCTTTCCTGCAGATTCCTTGGGAAGGGGGGAGGTATTTCTTCCTATAATTATTTTCTTTTCCTTCCCAAGAAAACAAATGCTTCTTGCTTCTCCCCCCCCCCCACATGCCCGCCCCCCTGTAATTTTTACAAAACACAGTTTATTTAGAAAGGAAAGACACCCAGGCAATCAGGTTGTGTGCGCCACAGCCTGTGGAGTTCTGCAAGTAACCTTGAAAGATGGTCTGCATCTTCATGGTTCTTCAAGATGTTCGAGATTAATGGCATTTGAATACACTGACGTGCGAAGGTGTTCTTTCTGGAGACTGGAAGCTGCTGGAGAAGGAGGTAGCGGATCACTGTAAGGCTGTCAGAAAACGCGTGCACCTCGTTTAACCCCAGCAGTGCTTTCTTCCACGGGGCACACGGCCGTTTTATTATTGCCTTTTGTCTCTGTTGAGGATGTGCGCCAAGGGGGAGGACCTGAAATGGCTGATATTGAAAGGAGACACAGACTCCATTGAAAAAAGAAAGAGAGAAAACAGAACAAGCCGGGCAGACAAGAAGTGGCAATCACATTTCTCTTCCTTTGTCTCCACTGTTAAGGAGCCCTGGTGGTGCTGCAGTTCAGGCACTGGGCTGCTAGCTACAAGGTCAGCCGTTCAAAAACCCTAGCCACTCCACGGGATAAAGAGGTACAGTCTCAGAAGCCCTAGCTAGGCTTGCTCTGAGTCAGAATTGACTGTATGGCAGTGCATTATGGGTTTTGTACCCAGATTGAGCATCCTGGTGGTGCAACGGTTCAGGCGTTCGGTTGCGAAATATAAGGTCAGAAGTTTAAATCCACCATCCGTTCCCCAGAAAGAATGACAGCCTTGGAACCCTAAGGAGGAGTTCTAGTCTGTTCTATTGGGTCCTTCTGGGTCAAATAAAAGGGGGGGTTGGAACGATAAACCATTCCTACACAGTCACCCAGGGATAAACATACGCAGTTTTCATCTTAATTTCTAGTTCAGTCTATTTAAAAACAGTCTTCAAACTAATCAAGTATTTTTTTTAGTGCCATCAATTCTTATAAGCAACAAAACCTCTGATTAATGCTAATTTGGTGACTTCTTTCTCCTCTTTCCTTGTTCTTTTTTTTTTTTAACCATGTTTTGAAAGACTAATGTCTAGTTGGGAGAATATATTCGGCAAAGCAAACAGCAACAATAAAAAAAAAAAAAACCTGCCTAAAATCCATTTCTTGTTCCTCCAATATTGAGGAAGAATTTTTGAAGATCAATAAAGGGATACGATTCCAATAATTTAATTTTATCAATCTGCTTATTTATAAAAAATAAACAAAATTACAGTTCTCTTGAGATATTTTGCAGGATCTTTGTCCTTTTTGCCCTCCCCTTTTCCTCTGTAAGCAATTCACATATTCTCTTTCTCAAATAACCATCCTTATTCTGTCCCAGAATTCAAAGTAGGGGACTAGGAGAAAGAGGTATTTGGAGAAGAAAACTTAACTGTAGTCCACATCTCCAGAGCAGGTGAGAGTTAAGAAGGCTCAAAGGAGCCAGCAGTTAACACAACCCTAGTATTTTGCCTTAGAAACTCAAAACAATCTGGCAGGTGACCCAGCAATGAAGGTCACTTCCCAGTGCATTCCAAAGGGAGGATAATGAAGCATTAAACTAACCGAAGAGGACTTCCCGATAACTGTTAAGAAGAAAAAAGGACAGGTGTTCTAAGGCATTGTCTTTTCTACTAAGAATAGGATCTATGTAGAAAACAGTAAAGAAATTATATATATATATATATAATGGGATCTCTCAATATTTTCTTTTTCTTTCAACAAAATGACTTCCTAACTGCCTTGTTAATACTTACATGAGCTTAGGATGTTTTTTTAGTTGAGGATATTTTTGAAATTGTATGAACTGATTATTTCACCACACATGTTCACCATGCAATATTTTCATCTACAGGTTAAATTAAAGGGAATGTATCATTTTAGAAGCCAGATCACCTAAGCCAAATTTCCATTATTATACTGTAAGTGACTTTGGCTTTTAATCCAAAATTTACACAGATCTTTCATTAAATCAGAAATCACACAGTCACAATATTTCATAGGGAATTTTTATCAACCTGTTAGCTAAAACTTACAGTGTTGGTTCATTCAAAGGTGAGAAAGGACAGCCCTGACGATGGTGTAAACCTGGAGTTGATCACTCACCTGTGCAAGGTGAGTGAGACACTCTGGAGAGCCATTGAACACATCGTTTATTCCAGGTCAGTAAATGGCACTTGACCACCCTAGAAAAACGAACGTGCATCATACGTCCCTCATAATTGAATGGCTGTCTCAAATTAGGTAGAGTCCCACAGAATGAGGTGCTAATTCTTTCTTTTATGGTGGATGTTAGGAAAAGGGCGGGGATATCGCAGTGTGAGATGGGCAATGTGTTCGTTTTGTCATTCTCATTGGTTGGTGAGGTTAATCTCGAACTATGTTTTCTTAGTTATTTTCTCCTATTATTTAAACCAAAGGTCAAGATTTATTTAAGCCAAAGGACCAGATTTTCAAAAATCTTTTCCCAGATAGCTCTGTTGCCTTTGTCACAATGGTATGTTTTTTTTTTTTCCTTTCTTTTCTTTTTTTATCTTGGAACCAGGAGGAAGGCTTGGCTAAGTTTGCCTACCTCTATCATCATCCACAAATGATGTTAGGGCTATAGGAATCAACTTCCGGTGCCTTCCTGTACACTTTGGATCTGGTTAATTTTAAAAAGAGGTGGCGGTTAGTGGCAAAAGAAGAAAGAAAGAAAGAGGTGGCAATCCATTCATCAGGTTATCAC